CCGTCCTCTGCACGTGGGGCCTTCCCAAGAATCCAGTCAATGACGTAATTGAATAGAATGGGTAAATATAGATTAGTGGTCGTGTACATAAATTCGATGCAATGGTTATTCTCACGTAGTAATCTGTTATCGCATCGGAACCATAGCAAAGTGAAGATATACCTCGAACGTGGGAACAGGCTTTACATTTTTAAACTTTACATTAGACGACCGTCTGATTTACCAATTAAATTCATCAAACTATTGTTAACCCGTATGTAAAAATTGATCAGTTTTTTTTACCGTTCTGCGGTACGATGAATCTCGGTCAGGTAATCCGCTGCATCTGAAGATTCGTAACTTGGATATCCGCCGCAATACCTCCTAGGGATTTGGTGTTCACAACTGACCCATCTCTTGGCTGTCCGATAACTTGCATGACCTATTCTTGAAACTAGATATAGATTTCCGATGTTGCTACTATTCGGTGTTCCAAATCTGGGACCCTTATTCCTTGTTGGATTCTAATTTTTATGCCTGGTGTCTGCCATCCCCAAAGCAAAAGTGTCATTTGCGCAGTTAAATGGTCAGGCAACAGATAAAATTGGTGCACTAGCTAGTCATCTGTATAGGCGACTGAGTTTATAAGGTGCCTGTTGAGTCTGCCACTTCAACTGTCCATCGATGTTCGACTATTGCGACTGCCTTACGTGATCCTTATGTGGATAGTGTAAGACCTGGTAATTCGGAGGGAGTTTAATGTGCCGGTTCTATTAATTGCTATCTGTGAACTAAGCCCTAGTCTACGTTGTTACTTGTTGGAATACTTTGGCATATAATAATCGCCGCTCAAACGTTGCGTCTGTGTGAATGGCATACAGACAGTGGGATCTACATTTTTGTTTTATTAGCTGACACTTCTAGCAAAAGACTTAACATCCTGTCTTTTGAAGGTTGCTCACCTTCATTTCGCGCGCCTCCGGATATTAAAACCCTCTGATTGCCTAGACGTATTGCACACATACGTCAAAACAGCCGCGGTCGTCTATATCTCATGTGCCTCGGTTTATGTATGCTAGGACACAAGATCTTTCAATTGGAACTTAGAGATCCATAAAGGCGATCAACACTGTAGCCCCTCTCTTAGGTGTAGTTTACATTTGTCAGTACCCGTCCTGGGCTCGCGCGTAACAGCAGTTTAGTGTTACCTGTGGGGGATGAGTCTGGAATTCTGCTGTTTTCGGTCTTCTGCTAAGATACGCCTAACTACCTTAGGCATATTTCCCTTTCTGTCCACTCCTCCCTTTGTGGTTGCAACCAGCGTCACCGCGGCAACTCGAACCTTAGTAAGCAGCGATGGGTTTTGTGGTTGTACTGCGCAGCGACAAACTATAGTCGCGTGTCTCTGTGTCATGCCTCTGGCACCATGTGCTATGTATTTATTTTATACAACGCCATTAGGTCCTGCTTCCATATTTACGCACAGGCAGGTGGGCTGAAGAACCGTCCCTCAAAAGAGAAAGTGCCGTCTTTCGACATGTTTCC